GAGGGTCTTTTTTTTTTTTTGGAGAGGTTTTTGCTATAGGGAGTGTGCACTCGCCAGAAATACAGAGACAGACAGAGAGATAGAAAGCGAGAAATCAATCACCCCCCACGGGAGATGGCCACACCATAAACCCTTCTCCTCCATTCTCCTCTTGGGATCTTGGGCATGCACACACACGTGCCTGGTGTGTGTTTAATACACTGGGTCTGGGACTCGAACCACGATTGACTACATGGGAGTCCAGCGACATAGCCATTACGCCAACTGTTGATCCCGACAATAGGGAGGGTTTTGACACTACATTTCACCGCTAAATTTAGTGAGCCTCAGTTCATAGGCACATGTGTGCCCAGGATACTCAGGGAAGTCTCATGTATGAATCTGTAGCCTTCTCATGTAGGTAAGCCACGAGGAGTGTCATGTTTTAGCATTGCACCACTATCTTGTCCCCTTATTAACATGTAATTTAATTTACTGTAGTTAGAGAATATACTTTGTATGACTTTAACCTTTAAATATGTTGTGTACATTTGGTAAAAATGGTATTTTCTCCTGTCGTTAGGTGGACTGTTCTATAATATAAAGATCAGGCTGTTTCATAGTGAACTTCTAGATTTCCGTGTCTGTACTGATTTTCCTTTTAAACAATTATCTTATTTAACTTTATTTGTTCATTTATTTATTTATTTTTAAATTTACCAGTGAGGGACATAGTGAATGAGCAAGAGGGAGAGAGAGAAGGGAAGTGAGAAAGCAAACTGCTAGGTCCAGGACTTAAACCATAGTTAGCCATGTGGGAGTCCAGTGTCCTTAACCATCACTCTGCCTGCCAGCTCCCTGTACGGATTTTCTGTTTGCTTGTGTTCTGCATGTCTTTTCATGATACCTTTACTGTTACTTAATTTTTTTGTTTTTGGTTCTTTACTTAGAGAAGAGTATAAATTCTCCATATATAAATGAAGACTTCCCATTTATTTTTCTTATCTATTCTGTCATTTAAAAAAATGCATTTTGAGTTTTATTTATTTTTTAGATGCATAGACATTTAAGATTGTTATAGATTCCTGAAGAATTGACCCACTTTCCAGTATGTGTTGTTCCTTTATTTTCTTTTTTAAAGTTTATTTCTTCCATGAACAAGAGAGACTATGATAAACCTAAGCTATGTTATAGTTAAAATTCTTGTCCCTAAGCAAGTTTTTTTGCTATTTCCTTATTTGGTATATGTTAACATTTTTTTTTACCTGCATTTATTGCTTTGTAGAGTTTTTATTTTTCCATTATTTTTGGCCTCTAAAGGGGACTTCAGTAATCTCATGGAAAAACAGAATTAAAGTATAAATTTATTTTGGTCCAAAAGAAAGAAAAATGAAATCCATGCATAGTCTTTTCGTAACACACATTTCTCATGAACTTGTTTGAGGCTTCCCTTGTATGTCTTCCCTTGTATGTCTTAACATATGTTCTGGCTTAGCTATGCATTTAAAGCTACATCTCACTCCCATAGCACAGTGATTAAACTCTATGCTTAGAGAGCTAGAACCCACATGGCTGACTGTAGTTTGAATCCTGGTCCCAGTGACTTTAAAAACATGTCAGGTGCATGTGCGAATGTGCTGGAAAAATGGAATGTGGGTCGGAGAAATGTAGGAAAAAGGATTGTGGAGTTACTACATACCACTGGGGGTTCTCTCTCTCCCTCCCTGATGACTGCATGCATCCTCTAGCACTTAAACAAAATTATGTTTTCAGTATGCTAGCTATTATTTTTATTGTAGAAGTTAGGACTATTAAGATATCTAGCCTGACATCGGATGGAAATCTTTGTGTTTTTGTTTGTTTGTTTGTTTTTAAAATTATACAATATATAGTCATTTCTTGGTATTCGTAGGCTATTGGAAAATTTTTTTTTTTTTTTTTAAGTTTTACAATATACAGTCATCTCTTGGTATCCAGGGCCCCCAGAGTTACCAAAATCTGTGGATATTCAAGTCCCTCATATAAAATGGCATAGTATTTATATATAACCTATAAGAATTTTATTTTATTCTTAAAATCATTTTTAGATTACTTATAATTAATACAGTGTCTGTATATCACTTTAGTCTCATGGTACTTGGACTGTAGCATATTCGAGTTTTGCTATTTGGAACTTTGTGAAATTTTTTTCCCATAGATATTTTTGATTTGTTGTTGGTCAGATCTGCAGGTGTAGCACTCATGGACACAGAGAGCCGATTGTTATAAACTAGATTTCTCTGGACCCACTCCTCTCCCCTATTTTACATTTCAGTTCTTAACCTTTTACATATTAAGTTTTTATGAAGTTTATCAATAAATCAAAATAATTTTAAGTTATTATTGTATTTCTAAAAGATATATGTGTATTTATTTTATAGCTACTTGAAGGAAATTTTGCCAAAGAAGTCAGCCATGAAATGGATGGACTCATATTTCAGCCTACTGGAGTAAGTTCATTTGCCTGTGTGTGTATGTGTGTGTACATGTACATATATACATGTGCATGTAAAGTACATTTTCCTCAAATACTTACTTAGGATTGATTACTGCTTTGATTATACATCCTTAAAGCAAACTGTTCATTTTGGACAATTTTATTTTCTTTTCTTTTATCTATCAATCACTAAAATGAATACTTGTTTGCTTTTTACTTAGCTCAAGAAATAAACATCATTGTTCATTATTTTCTAAGGAAGGTAGTCTATAAATGTAATTAGTGTTCTAATAATTTTTAAAAATATTTTTGTGCTGGGGGGAGGGGAGAGGAATAGCAAGAGGGGTTTATTAAGAGGCAGAAGGAAGAACAGAGCTCTTGAGCACAGAGTGGGTCCTGGAAAGTGGGTTGCTGAGGAGAAACTGGGGTGGAAGGTTTTTAACTGTGTTAGGAGGGACTTTGTCTAGGTTTGTTGTCTCGGGCATGTATTCCCCTCCTGGTGAGGGGTGGGGGCACATGCTGGATACATCAGGCCCATTTATTAATTTTGGAGTGGGTGCAAAGGTCAGGAGATTCATTGTCTAGAAACTTTGGGCAATGAAAACCATTTTCTTCCTCTTAGAATATAGTGGGCCTGATTCCCCTCTCTGCAGAGGAGTCTCTAACTGCTGTTAGGAAGAATACGGGTTGAAGAATGTTCTGGCTTCTTCCTGCTGGCAATGATGGGGAACAGCAGTGAAGGATTGTCTACCAGCAATCTATCTAAAGGCCCATGATAGAAGTCATGAAATGTGTTCACTGGGGACTTTGTCCGGAACACCATTTGTATCTTGATGGATTCCATGATGACCAGAGTTATGCAGGGTTCTTCAGTGGTTATGCTGACTTCTCTGGACAAGGGTATAGACGATCTTCGCAGGCCTCTTCAGTTGTCTCTTGTTTCCCCTTGGCTTACAAGGGTCTTGGCTGGCTGTTCCTCCAGTTTCTTCAAGTTTTCCTACAGGAGCAGATGATTCTTTTCTATGGGATTGGAGTAACCTAAAGAGGCAGACTCCTGACTGGCTTGCCATATGTATGTTGGCAGGATGGCTTTTGAGATGATATCCAGGTTCGTAGTGTTTTGACAAAGAATTGATTGAAATATGCCAATAGTGAAAGGAAAATGTAGAAGCGAAAGTATACTCCTGAGAGGAGTGGGCCTGAGCAGATAGAGTGGCTCAAAAGGACAACAAAAATGAATGTTAATTGAGGCCAGTAGGTGGCATGGTAGTTAAGGCGCTGGACTCCCACGTGGCTGATCACAGTTCAGGTCCCAGAGCTGGTGGCTTAAATCTCATGCCAGGCAAGCATGTGGGTGTGCCCAAAATCCCAGAAGGAGAAGGGACTGTGGCATGGCCATCCCCCTAGGAGGTGATTTCTCACTTTCCCTCTCAATGTCTCTGTCTCTCCAGCTAGTACATGCATCATATGCCCCCCCCCAAAAAAAAAAAAAGATAAAAGAAAGAAAGAAAGACTATTGGTCATTACTTTCAAGGAAGTTAGTCTATAAATGTAATTAGTATTTTCATAATTTTTACAACAATGAATGTTAATTGGGGCTTGCAGTGGTGTAGTGGTTGAGGCAATGGACTCCCACATGGGTGACTGAATTTCGAGATCTGGGCCTGGTGGCCTAAAAATCATGCTGGGTATATGTGCCCAAAATCCCTAAAGGAGAATAGGGGAGAAGGGATTACAGTGTGGCCATCCCCACAGGAGGCTAGTTCTCACTTTCTTTCTGTCTGTGTCTCTCTCTGGTAAGTTCATGTACCCTATGGCAACAACAACAAAATCTTAAAAAAAAAAGTCTTAATTTACATTTCCTTATTATTGGATTGTGCATAGAAAAACAAAGTAAAATACACTATGACTTTCCCAACAACTCAGTAGATCTCTGCCAATGCCATTATATAAATATTTTCTTCAAATGACCTGGTATACCTTTAAGTATTAATATCTCTAAAACTTAATTTTGTTGTTGAGTAAAATTCAAAGTTATTCATACTTAAAAAATAATTGAATTTTTGAATTTTTATTACATGTTGAATTTCTGAAATGCACTGAAGAACTTTCACCAACTTAACAGTCAAATCACATGTTTGGAGTAAGTTTTGTTTTACTTAGTAGCAGGGTTTTTTAACCTCAGCACTGTTGATGTGTTGGCCCAGATAATTCTTTGCTGTGAGAGCTGTCCTGAACATGGATGTTTAGCAAAATCCTTGGTATTTTCTCACTAGATGCCAGGACCTCTCCTCCCAGTTGTAGCAACCTCTATCCATTTTCCTCCATTCTCTGCTTGAGATTTTGGGTGTGTGCATGAGCGTGCATGTGCTCACACACACCTGTGCCCAGTGTGTTTTTTCAAGTTGTCAAGTTCAGGACTTGAACTATGCTGTTGACTATGTGGAGTCGAGTCATCTTGACCATCATGCCACTGGCTGACCCACCACGCTTTTTATTTTAATGATTTATTTATTTTTTTATGTTTGGAGAGAGACATTTTTGCTATAGGGCATGTGCACTTACCAGAGAGACAGAAAGCAAAAAATCACACCTGGGCAGGATGGCCATACTGCAGTCCTTTCTCCTGCATTCTCCTCTCGGGATCTTGGGCATACATGCACACATGCCTGGCATGAATTTTAAGCTGCCTGGTCTGGGACTCGAACCATTGTTGACCATGTGAGTGTCCAGTGACATAACCATTACACCATCTGCTGGTCCAGTAACTATATAATTTAGACAAATCTCCCTCTTTGCCAGGATTTTCTTAAATATTTGTAGACATTTAATTTAACATATGTTTTGGAATCGGTTTGTCATGTGACCCAAATGTTTTTGTAGGAATGACTTTGAATTTAGATTAATTTGGAGAAAATTGATGTGTTTACAATGTTAAATCATCTCATTGATTAGGTATGGCTCTTTTTAGGTTTTTTGTTCTCTAAGTTTAAAAATTTTATTCTCGTTAGAGAAAATTTCTAGATATTTATCATTTTCAGTTTTTATAGTAATTGATGTCTTCATTTCTTTTTTAAATTTAGTATTTCTAGTGTACTGCCACATCATTGATTCCTTTTATTGATTCTACAATCTTTGTAATAATTGTCTAATTTTCTGTATTGGCTAGGACCTTTAGTACTAAATTAAATATTAGCTTTAATTGAATGGAGGAGAGGGAGACATGTATACTTTGTTCTCAGTCTCAAAGGGAATGTACCTAAATTTTCTGCACTGAATATGTTTTTCATAGATTTCTTTTTTTTTTTTTTTTTGACAGTTGTGAAATGTATGTTTATTCTGATACTTCTGTAGTTGTACAACTGGCTCATAACAAGTTGCTGGAATAATTTTATTTTATTTCTTCAGGACAGGGGTATATCAGTGATGTCAAATTTGGGATCTTCAAACCTGAAGCTAGGGAGTGTGTTCATGTCTGCTTTACCAGACATTTGCTTAAGCTTAAAAAGCTCCCTCTCCAGATCTTGCTGATATCGGGGTCGGAACCCACAGGTCCTCCAGACATCTGTCACTTAGATTTGAATTCTCTAATCTTGTCCACAAAAACGTTCTGTACGGAATCGAGCTCCTTATTAAATGCCACGGCTGTCACACCAATGTTCCTCTGCAAATGGACTAAGACTGCAGACTGAAGGACGGAGACCCTGAAGAACCTCTGAGAAACCATGTTGAGTCTTTGCTACTTGCACTCAGCACCGAGCTGACAGGGACACTGCCACCACCATTCTCCAGAAACTTTTTTTTTTTTAAGAGAGATTTTTTCTGGTATCTATTGGTGCTTTCTATGCCTCCCCCATTATATTGTTTCACTAAATATCTTAATAAATCTAAATATTTTCAACAGCAAGCACAGCTGATATGTACATATCCATGAACACAAGTCTGACTTTAGGCATAAACCTCAGTGAATAGAATGAACATACTATAAAGTAGCACCTAACTAGGGCTATATAGCTTAACTGCAGTCATCAAATAGGTATTTCTAATGCCTTTTTTTTTCTTCTGAAAATTTTTTTTTATTAATTTACATTCATTCCCTGAGCATCATCACAACATTCTAAATGTGGTTTCCCATCTAGAATATACTATATAGTGGCTTAATAATGCATGTTATCATCCATAATATTCCATTTCTACTTTCATATATATGTTTTTTTACCCCATGTCTAGCCCTCTGCCCTATTCCACTCTCTTATTACACTATCTCTGCTGTCTACAGTTGTCTTCAATCCCTTTTCCCCCAACATTTCGTTGGTCACACAATATCATAAGTAATCTAACTACTTTCAATAGCAAGATCAGCCGATGGTTTCAAGAAAAGCAGTTTTGAACTGGTAAGGATATTTCTTTGAAACTTAAAGCCTAGAAACAGGTTAGTATTCTGTTCAAATAGTCGGAACATGAATCTATTGATAGCTGAAGACAGGACAAAAGTCCTTAAAACCAGACAACAAAGCTTAGAAGAAAAGCAGCAATATTTTAGTCAAGTCGTAGAATACTGTTTCATCAGTTCAGTCTCATGTACTTAATCTTTCTTCTGTATCTGTTGAGGTTCGATGTTCCAGATTGAAATCTGGGATGTAATACTCAACTCCAGCTTTTGGCCCTACAATTAAGTTGCCCATTTTCTTAGTTTCTGAACTCTTATTTCTGTGTGTCTGCATTTAATTTTACTGACATAGCACTCCCTTAAGAACTTCTTGGAGATCCGGTCTGGTGCTGGTAAATTCTTTCAGGTTTTGTTTATCTGGGAAAGTTCGTGTCTTTTCTTCCCAAATGAACGATAACCTTGCTGGGTACAGAATTCTCGGTTGAAATTGCTTTTCCCTTAATACTTTGAATACATTTTCCCATTCTCTCCTCGCTCTCATTGTTTCCGATGAGAGGTCTGCCGTTAGTCTGATGGGATACCCTTTGTAGGTAACTTGCCTTTTTTCTCTTGCCAGTCTTAGT